TAATTAAGCACTACGCCATGAAGGAGTATGGGCGAGTGGATGTATAGATCCACATTTTCTTTACCTGGGCACTAGTTGGAAATGAATGGTCAGCTTCACACCCCTGCCGCTTTACCCCCGAGGAAAGAACCCCCGGTACCCATTGGATAGGAGGTTGGGTGGACCCCAGAGCCAGTCTGGACGACATGGAGAAGAGAAAATTCTTTACCTTACCGGGATTCGAACTCCTACTCTCGGTCATCCAGCCTGTAACAAGTCGCTATACAGAATACACTATCCAGGATCCTTGGTACAAAACGCATTTGTATGATGGCGCGAGTGTGATTTTGATCAATTTCATATGAATCAGATAACAATATTGTTAGAAAATGTGTCATCTGTGGTTATACAGTGTGCACAAAAAAAAATCAGTACTGAAACTCACGCATTTCGAACGCGCATGTGCGTTTGTTGACGGGGCATAGCTCCAGCCGCATGTGTTCCCAGTAGTGAAAATAAAATTGTGTTGTGCAGTTGTTCGAAATGGGTCTCTTGACGGAGGAAAAAGTATTCATAGTTGAGTATTATTTCCGCTCATACGGAAGTGGTCGCCAGACAGCTCGCTTCCTTGGTTTTGAGCGGCCAGATGTTATCGTCCAGAAGCCGCTACACAGCACACGGTATATTAGGCCCCTATTTCATTGAGGATGAGGAAGGCAAGGCTCTTACCGTTACCCAAGAACGCTATAGGGACATGGTGAACGGACCATTTCTTCAGGATTTGAGAATGTTCTGTCGTGCAAGGGGCCTTCACATGAATAGGCAGTGGTATCAACAGGACGTCTTTTCATTTCAGTACTTTATAACTTTGGCGCATACTGTATTACCACGCTTTCATTGTCTTTTCTCTTGGTCGTCGAGTGTTTGTGATCCGGTATAGCTCAGTCGGTACAGTGACGGGGTGCGGCACTGACAGCCGAAGCAAGAGGTTCTTCTGTCCTCCACGTCGTCCGGAACGGCTATGGAGCCTACCCAGCCTCCTATCCAATGGGTACCGGGAGCTCTTCCCCCGAGGGTAAAGCGGCCAGGGCGTGAAGCTAACCACTCACGTCCATCTGTTGCTACCATAATCTTAATTATACGTCATTTTACGTGTTATACTCCCCAGTATTTTTATAAGATATACTGAACGTGTTGGCTTGCTTGTTGTCAGAGTTATGAGTGAAGATTACTGTCTTTCGGGATATGACGCCTTGCAGTGCGATATAAGCCCAACATTTCGGAGAAAAATACTGCCTCGTTTTTCTGATTCTGAAATTAAGCTATCGAGTAAGCAGTAAGAAGCTTGGGGACTCTTCCTCGGAGTAAGTCGCAGGACATCACGGGTAAGAGTGGCAGAAAGAGAATGTCAGAGACAGGGGTGAAAATTTATCAATTTGTAGGCTTCGTGGTAGAAGACGGAAGCAGCAGATCCCTCCGAAACGTCAGTAACGATCTACCAGATTCCACTGCGTCACATTCTGAAATGAAATAATCTTCCAAGATCGCTAAGCCTTGTATCTGATTGGTACTGGGAAACTGTTCCATGGGAGTCAAATGTCCGGGGTTTGAAGGCAGCCACTCGCCTTCATTTAAATCGGAGCTTGAAAAATTCTTGGGGTCTATATCTCCACCCCACCATACGTCTTCATCGCCTGATGCTAGTCTTGAACAGGGAATTTATGTCTTACCGTTGGATGGCGCATGTGTCACTATAAGAAACTGAATTGTGAACTTAAACTGTTCGACCAAGGCGTGAGGTCGTGGCAATAGTTTTTTAGTTTCTTGTTGTGGGGTGAAACTGAGATCACTTGGTACGTCGCCACTGTTTGGCCTGTTATACCAGTCCCAGATGATAGATGGTGGTGATTGTGCAGCAGTTGGTGGAATGAAAATTGCAGGGGAAACCGAAGTACTCGGAGAAAACCTGCCCCAGTGCCACTTTGTCCACAACAAATCCCACATGACTTCACCCGCGCTCGAATCCGGGCCGCCGCGGTTGGGAGCTACGGCACGGACTACGTTTTACCTTACTGCTTGGCGTTATATTGAGTGGTCTACTGTAAGCGTCGTTAAATAACAAATGAAGGTGTGGATTGAAACGTATGTGATGGATGAAAATTTAAAGAGTCAATATGAAATCATGCGTGTTGAGTGTATGTAACGTTGTTATGTAAAGTTTGGATTGAATTATAGCAGAAGTTTGTAGTGATTGAAACATGGGGATTGATTTTGAAATTCAGCGGTTTCAGAATTGAACACTCGAGTCTGATGAAATGTGATATGTGCTGAAAATTGAACATTTGTGCTTGGCGGGGCTGCTGCTCGTCGATATGATGATTCTGAACTGTTCAGAATAGGGTGTCATGACTTAATTTGTGGTGAACACCAGAACCGGTATGAAAATATTCTGAATTAAAAATTACAGATCTTGAAATAACTCTACATGGTGGACAGTGATGGGTGGCGAAATAAAAAATTTGTAAGCAGAAGGTGTTGGTGTGCGCGAAGGTACAGTTTAATCTGTTATTGGAGAAATCTCATTTTAAGTTTAAGCCTGATTGTATGGACGATTACAAAATTACAAGTTTTCTCAGAGCAGATCGTGGGACACCCTTAGCCATTTTCTAAAGGAATATAAATATAAGATAAAATAGGTAAAATTAAAGCTATCCCTGTAGCAGACCTTGGAGGCCCATAGAGTTCTGAGACGTCGAGGCTCCAACATTTTCTAGACTATCGGTTCACAGATACCTGTGAGGTTATCAGTCTTATGCGCCGGCCGTCCTTTACCCCCAGGAAAATACCTGGTACTCATTTCTGGTAAAGGTTGAGTCGACCACAGGACCATAGTGCGACTGGAACGATTAGGGCAATTGAAAACTCTAATGATCTCATCGGGATTCGAACCAGCGATCTCCCGGCTTGTAGCGTAGTGCCTCAACCAACTACGCTACTGCGGTCCCTTGTAAGGAAAATGTTCTCTCCGGAAATAAATTAGTTTCTACCTTTTGAGGGAGCTTGGATAGCTCAGGAGGTATATCGACGGGATACGGGCTGGACGACAGAGGAATGGGAGTTCTACTGTCAGTAGGTGAAGATGTTTTTTGTCTTCTCCATACCGTCCAGATGAGTTTTGAGACCCACCCAACACCCTGCGTAGTTGATATCGGGAGTCTGTTTCTCAGGGGGTGAAACGGCAGGTTTGAGAAGCTGACCACTCACCTCCATCTAATGCCTAGGTTAAGAATCATGGAGCTATACCTCCACTCCACCATACACCCTCATGGCTTGATGATTCATTCATAAATTGCAGAGATAACTTGTCTTTATTAATGCTACTGTCCTGGTCAGGACGTCTTGATTTATGAAACTCGGAGTTCTGCAGCCGGCATGAATTCTGCTATTAGACGTATCCTGGGTCAGTTGAACTCAATCCAGATCACCACATCCTCTTTAAGATTAATCCTATTTTACTCAGAGAGGTAGGTACTCGGTTCGAATGGCTGGGCCATTGGCTATACAAAGAGTTTTTTTGTGGTTTTCCTCAGTTCCCTCAAGCAAATACCTTGATAGTACATCGAATTCCCACGATCGCATCCTACCAGATCCATTCCAATTCATTTGGCTTTTCATCCTGCCAAGTCGCGGCGCCGTATAATAATAAAAAAGATGTATATTATTATGTAATAAGAAGACTTGTTTTAGAAAACCAATCAGAGATCAAAGGAATTCAAAGCAGAATATTACTGTCTTGTGGGATGTGACGCCGTATAGTCTGGTAGGCGTTTATTTACATTGGCTGAGGAATATACAGCTTCCATCTTTAGGGCCGAAGAGTAAGTCAGGCAAGCAACTAGGAAGGAGGTTGAGAGTACGTTCTTCCGAAACGTCGCTGAACTTCCACCGGACTACACGGCTTCATATCCCACAAGATAATACTCTCGACTGTCGCCGCTGTGAGAACCTCAAGCTCTACACAAGAATATAAGGCTTTTATTTTTCTAGTGCTGCTCCTTAGAAAAAAAGGGGGCCTCATTATTTTCGGGCCCTTAAGATTAAACACGAAGATGATGATTATGAGGAGTTCTGATTGCTAATTCCAATGATATTAGTGAAAATTCCTATAAACATATATAAGGTGTTAAATTTTGAACTTTTTATTTCTTATTAATATAATTTTTTACTTCTTTTTGCTTAGGTAGCAGAAACTGCGTTAGCGCAGTTGGTTGAGACCGTATGTTACAAGCCGGAAGGTCGCGGGTTCGATTTCTTATGAAGTCGTTAGATTTTTCAATTTACCTAACCCTTCCAGCCGCACTATGGCCCTAGGGTGGACTCAGCCACTAACAGAAATGAAAAGGAGGCCGGCGAGTAAGGCTGACAACCTCACCGCCATCTGTGAGCCTATTGTCTAGAAAATGTAGTAGCCTCGACGTCTCACACTTCTATGGGCCTCCACGGTGTGTAACAGGGATAGATTTTCCTCTTTATCTTCTTTTTGCTTAAAATCCTAGGAACTGAATGACATATCTTATTTTGTCAAAATATTTTCTTTCCTGATTTTCTTATTGGAAACATAAATGGTCGCCTTGTTTATCCGGTCTTGTACGATAATTTGAAGTCACTTGGTTGATTAGTGAAAATTGCACGTAGTTTGCTTGGAGAAACAGTAGCTTGTTAGTTACGTGTGTATATTAGCTTATGTAAAAACAATTCTTTCAACATTTACGAAGACCGTCTCCGTGTAACTCAGTGTTTAAACAGATTACATTTTCCTGTATCTTTCTACTGTGTTTTTACAACAGATTCGCGCAAACTCCCTTTCCGTTAACCGACCCTAACCCCAGAGGGCATGGTTCTTCTCTGTCTGATACCAGAGGGCATCTCTCTGCTGTACGCGTGCGCGACCTAGCGTTACGGCAATCTATAAGCCCAGCGCCCGTATTCATCTGCAAACCAGTCACAACCGCGGTGTTCGTGGAGGCGCGTTAACTAAGCGGTATCAAGTGATACAACTGACATTGTTTCCTTGGGTGATTACGTTGATATATTAGTGCAGTGAAAGTATTCTGACACGACCCTGTTACGTCAGTATTACAGCATAAAATCACGTTTAGTTCATGGGCGTGTCTAGGTTATTTTTTGTATAGCGTAATATGAATACTTAGCCATCTAATGAGTGTAGCTGCATATATGCACATCAGATTATGTGTTAGTATTGGAATAAGTGTTTCAATCTACACCCAATATCGCATACGAATGAATCAGAAACACACGTTCGAAATATTTGTGTAAATAAAATATATTTATGATTAAGAATCGGATTGTTATGAAATAGGGGGACTAAGTAATTGATATTTACAGTAGCGGGTTAATTAATGAGGGAGAGAAATAATGATTTGTAAACAGAATTCCTCAGTTTTTGTTTCCTGTTCTTCAAGTAAAGTTTATGAGGTAAAGAATTTTCTCATCTGATTCAGTGACGTATATCTTTATCCATTTCTGGGAAATAATAATAAATCAGTTCTCCTTTCCATTCGCGTGTGTTTTCTTCTCGTTTTATATAGTGAACTTGTATTGTCTTCCAAACAAAGAACGCCTGTTTCCTTTTCTCGCAAATCCATCCAGTCTCATTTTGAAGGCTTGATGATCTGTGGGTGTTACCTGAGATCGTGCGTGTGTTGATGAGGTTTCAGCAGCTCCACTTTTTGTGTTGCCATTATGAAGCTCTCCGGGGAATCATTGTTTTCACCTGGTAGCTCCCGCTGTAGTCGATCACCACGTGGGCTCCCCAAGGCACCCCTCTCCCGGTCGACTCGGCCCCGAGACAATAAAGCTAGTAACAGTAATAGCGGCAGGGTGTACGGCGTCGTGGGCGTCGTGGCGCTCAGCTGCTACCTGAACGGTCTGACGGGTGAATTCGTCCACGATGACATCCCCGCAGTCACGCAGAACAAGGATGTGTTGGGACTCAGCCCCCTGAGCCATGTGTTTCGTAATGACTTCTGGGGCACAGCCATGAGTGACGTGAACAGCCACAAGTCTTACCGGCCACTCACCACGCTTACCTTCAGGTAGGAACTTGTCATTTCACAGCCATGTGTGACGTGAACAGCCACAAGTCTTGCCGGCCACTCACCACGCTTACCTTCAGGTAGGAACTTGTCATTTCACAGCCATGTGTGACGTGAACAGCCACAAGTCTTGCCGGCCACTCACCACGCTTACCTTCAGGTAGGAACTTGTCATTTCACAGCCATGTGTGACGTGAACAGCCACAAGTCTTGCCGGCCACTCACCACGCTTACCTTCAGGTAGGAACTTGTCATTTCACAGCCATGTGTGACGTGAACAGCCACAAGTCTTGCCGGCCACTCACCACGCTTACCTTCAGGTAGGAACTTGTCATTTCACAGCCATGTGTGACGTGAACAGCCACAAGTCTTGCCGGCCACTCACCACGCTTACCTTCAGGTAGGAACTTGTCATTTCACAGCCATGTGTGACGTGAACAGCCACAAGTCTTGCCGGCCACTCACCACGCTTACCTTCAGGTAGGAACTTGTCATTTCACAGCCATGTGTGACGTGAACAGCCACAAGTCTTGCCGGCCACTCACCACGCTTACCTTCAGGTAGGAACTTGTCATTTCACAGCCATGTGTGACGTGAACAGCCACAAGTCTTGCCGGCCACTCACCACGCTCACCTTCAGGCAGGAACTTGTTATGATTAGGACAACTTCATAATAATGCGTGACATGAAGAGGTATAAGTTTTGCCTGCCACTCACCACGCTCACCTTCAGATAGGAACTTGTCATGATTAGATAGCTTCACAGTCGCGAGTGACGTAATCAGCCGCAAGTCTTACCGGCCACTCACCACGCTCACCTTGGGGTAGGAACTTGTTATGATTAGGACAGCTTCACAGTCATGAGCATGGCCCGGATTTTGATGACCTGAAAATATTAAAAAATGACCTATAAATGACCGAAAGAATCCAGAAAAATGACCTAAAGGAGAAAAGAAATAACACTTCGCTTCCATGTTATTCACATTTCAGAAAACATATGAAGAAAAATTCCCCAAAATGGCCAAAAATGACAAGAAATGCCCTTAAAATTCCAAAAAAAATTACGCCAAAAATGGAAAAAAATGACCTTAAACCTGAAAATGTCATAAAAATGACAAAATAATTACCTATAAATTTTACATTTCTGTAACCAGCACCTCATATCCGAGATTTATATATTTAAGAGCATCGCATAGGATACAAGGAAAAAAGATGACATGTCATCAAAATCCGGGCCCTGGTCATGAGTAACTCGAATAGCCACAAGTCTTACCGGCCTCTCACCACACTCACCTTCAGGTGGGAGCTTCTCATGTTTAGGACAGCTTCACAGCCATGCTTGACGTGAACAACCACAAGTCTTACCGGCCACTCACCGCGCTCACATTCAGGTAGGAACTTGTCATGATTAGGACTACTACACAGCCGTGAGGGACCTGTCACTGTTTTACAGACTGGCGGCTCATGCAATGCAGTATCTGCTATCCACACTGCAAACAAACCGCTACCTCTGCTTCGTATTATCGACGACAGCAGGTTTACAATTCTCACGTCAGATAAGAAATGACGTGACATTGGAATAGAACCATAGTTCTATGACGTCATGAGATAAGGACGTGATAGAAGGCGAAGCCTGGGTGAGGTAACATAGGTATAAGTTATGTCAGTTGCTGACTGACACTCTCGTAACAGATCCCAATTGAACCTTCAGCGTCGCTAACACAAAAGCTGAACATGGTACACGATCCTGAGTCGGTTACACACAACTACCACCAACAGAACCTATCGCACTAAGTTCACCGGGCAGTCATCTGCTGCTCATTAAACTGATCAATGAATTTGACAACTCTTATGAGTGGGAATGTGAAATTTATGTTCAAATACTCTACCACTGCTCTCTTACCTCACGCCGCTTTAATCTGTGATCGTATCGAGGGAATGAGATAGACAGGGCACGCAGCACGCATGTGGAAATAAAAGAAGTACAAGGTTTTCGAGGAACCTGAAGAAAGGAGACCATCAGGACGACGTAGACGAAAATGTGACGACAATATTAAAATTGGTGTTAACGAAATGTGATGGCAAGGCGTTGACTGGATTAATCTGGCTCAGGATACGGTCCAGCGGCGGACCGTTTTGAACCTAAGGGTTTCATAAAATGCCGGGAATAACTAGAGTGCTTAAACAAGGACTCAGATCCATGGAGTTAATCAGTAAGCTAATTCATGCCTCTAAATAAGAGATCATGTTTCAAACCCATTAGAGGAACTGGTAAAAGTGCACACTTAAGTAAGGTTTTCTTTCCTTTAGAATTTAAGGCCCAGTAGACGCGTAGGCTACTAACATTTGGGCTGAATTTCCCGCCTCCTTCAGGATTTATGTTCTGAACCTGGAGGAAGTTGGTTCCTCCGAAACTTTGGCACATACCATACCACACTGTTTCACATTGCAAAAGAGGCGCTATGCTACAAGCCGGAAGGTCGCGGGATCGAATCCCGATGAGGTGGATTTTTCAATTTATCTAATCCTTCCAGCGGCACTATGGCGCTGGGGTCGACTCGGCTTCTAACAGAAATGTGTACCAGGAATATTCTTGGAATATATTTTGGGGGTGAAGGGCGGCCGGCCTGTAAGGCTGACAACCTTACCGCCATCTATGAGCCGATTATCTAGAAAATGTGGGAAACTCAACATCTCACAACCGTATGGGCCTTCACGGCCTGCTACAGGGATAGCTTTGCTCTTTTTACTTTACTTTGCCTTTTTCAATTCTTCTCCTTCTTCTGCTTCTCTTCCTCCTCCTTCTTCTTATTCTTCTGCAGGCGCTGTAGCCCGTGATGAACATTGGTTTCTTTCCCGATTACTCGCCATTGGTTCCGGTCCTGTGACTTTCGTCTCCAATTCCTAGCGCCCACTGTCTTCAGATCTTCTCCAACTGAATCCAGGCATTGACAGAAGGTCTGTCTTCTCGTCGAGTACCCTCTGGGTTATGTAGGGTTAACTTCTTGCTAGGGTTCTGCTCTTGAATTCTAAAAAGATACCTCAACCATTTCAACAGCCCTACTTTAATCACTTTACGTATTTCTGGTTCATTATATAATTTATAAAGTTCAGGTTTATACCTTTATCTCCATACACCATTTTCCTTAAGTGGGCCAAAAATTCTTCTTAATATCCTTTCTTTTCATCCTTTCTTTTCTCTTAAGGTCCATCTTTCACTCTCACGTGTAAGCATAGGCCTTACAAGCGTCTTGTATAGAGTACGTTTTGTCTGTCTCCCTAAATATTGTGAACTTAATTGTTTTAGGCCATAAACAACCTGATTTGGCATTGAACTTCTATTATTTCAATAGTGGTGTTACTATCTTCTCTCGGGCTGCGCCATAGCTCAAGCGGTTAGTCGATCCCGAGTCTGGTCAAGTGGGATTTTTGGTGGACAAAGTGGCTCTGGGGCAGGTTTTCTCCGAGTACTTCGGTTTCCCCTGCCAATCTTCATTCCACCAATTGCTCCACAATCACCCTCACCTATCATCTGGGGCTGGTACAATAGGCCAGAAGTGGCCGCAGTACAAGGGACTTAGTCCCACCCCACAAGCAATAAAGAAAATACTATCTTCTCTTAGATTGGATGAATGCATTCTCTGTATATACTAGTGTCTGGAAATATTGTACATAACATCTCATAATGTATAATTTTGTAACTATCTGATAATGAACAGTCGAAGCGCTATTTTTCCCCCCATGGGCGCCTTCATAGATGGAATATAGAAATGCTTTATGAGGATCTCACTTTCGGAGCATAGTTATGAACACGCGGTTGAGATAGAACTTGGCCGTTTTTATCGCAGTGAATGCTGTAAATATGATGCATTTGATAGGAATTTTCCTTTTCGGGCTAATGCACATTGAATTTCTGTTACTTCTGTCGTCTGTAATAAAAATATCTTCTCAAATGGATACCTTTTTTTTTTAATGTTAAAACTCTGTCATCTGTTTAATAATGACAACTGTGTAACTATAGTAAAAAGTCAGAATATTTTTCAATAGATAGCAGTGTCCAAATGTCACCTAATTTTAAATCGCTTTGCGTGGCTCGCTGAGTAGCGCGCGAAAGTAAAGTTATCCCTCTGCTTAATTAAGCACCACCCTATGAAGATGTATGAAGAAGTGGAGGCACAGGTGCATGCATTCTAAAAGTCAGAAGTGGCTGAAGCTGAGTTAGCAGCTTAATGTCCTGGTCGCTTTACCCAATAGGAAAGAGCCTTCGATATTAATTGGGTAGGAGATATTCAATCGACGGCCTCTGTGGTCTAGTGGTCAGACTTCCTGGCTACAGATCCAGAGGTTCGATTCCCGGCGCTACCAGATTCTCTGAGAAGTAGTGGGTCTTGAACGGGGTCCACTCAACGTAGTGAGGATAATCGAGGATCTACTTGAATTGAAAAGTAGCGGCTCCGGTCTAGAAAACAGAAATTTACGGCCGTGGGGACTCGTTGCGCTGACCACGCGACACCCTCTATCCGCTAAAGTTGGCACTAACTTCGCCGACAAGCGGCGGTCGCTCGGTCGGTATAGTTCGCTTGCAGACTACAGCCATGGAGTTTTTGTTTAGGAGTCATTCAGTCGCGGCTGGACTGTAGTGGGAGCTTTCTGCGTTCTACGATGCTATAACTGACATAATGAAGGAAGCTCAGTTTTGAACTTCATTTGAAGTTGGATTTTTATCTGACAAATGGGAAACAAAATTATTTTTAGGACAGATCTATGAGTTCGATTTCATAGAAATGTTGATCAACAGCTTAGCTCACCGTTGACGGTTTAGATTTCTACAAAACAATTGCTCAATTCGAATTCCGGTTGAAACACAGCCGATCTGGTCTGGTTTCTTATATTCGTCAGTCGGACGGCCAAGAAGGCACCTGGTTCAAGGGTTCCGTTTCGCGCGTTCTATACACCAGTAGCTAACGTATTCGTTGCCGCGGGAACTGCAATAGTTCTAGT